ATGAATGAAATTGTTTTGTTAGTATTTTCTCATAATATTTAATTAAAATAATATAATTTTAAATATTGTTAAGTTTATTTATTTATTTTTTTTCATATTTGATTGATAAACACTTATTTCTTATATTTTATAGAGTCATTAAATTTGAATTAAAAAAAAATTACTTGAAGCAATTGGCACAAGCATGAAGAGTTAAAAAACTGAAACAGTAAGAGAACATTTAATCCAATCTCAAGGATTAGATCTATTTATAAATAAGTCATCGTCTTATAAATTAAATTTATAATTTGAGTTTTAAATTTAGCATTCAAAAAAATTATTTTTTTTAAATATATCAAATTAATATAGGACTACAATTTTAAAATTGCTAAGTAAAAATTAATTTTATGGTATGTAAAATTTAGATCATAACACCTTAACTATAAATAGAAAAGAAGAGAATTATTGGTCTAAAATTTAGTAATCAAGCTGCAACACAAACCACCTTTTTGAAAATACAAAACATGAAAGGACCCGTATTGATTCCAACTAAGGAAACGATGATAGGGTTTTTTGTTTGTTTTTTTGGTACAGAAAATAGATTATTTAAACAGAGCTAATAAATCAGATAATTAATTCAAAGTTATCAATCCAGACAGAGCTAAGAATTCCAGTAATTTCCATCTTCTAAACTCCGTAATGGCCTTGCATAATATAATCCAATCTCAACTAAAAACTAAATTCTTTCCAAAAACCAATCAGACAACAAACATTATAAATTGATAGGATTAGATATTAATAGAGGTGCAACACCAGTATGAAGCTGAAGTAGCTAATAGTATTACATTACACACAGAAATTAAAACAGAAGTGCTGCAACTGTTTTCCGTTCAATGTAAAATGACAAATTTGTAATGGACCAAAAAACAAAAAACCACACACACAAGGAAAGAAATTAGCTTATCCATCGGTTTCTCTCTCAGCGTCAATCTCTAACCCTGGATCTGCTAATTGAGTGGTCAAGTCTTTCTCAATTGCTTTGCATTTGGAAGGAAGAAATGAAGTTGATCGAGCAAACACTGAAAAAGAGTAAGATAAAAAAATGTGATGAGAATGTTTTTATTAAACAAGTGAAAGACAAATTTTCAGTTAAAACTAATTCATTTTGGCATTGCAAGAAACTCTAGCTGAAAAATAAAATATTACCATCAAAATACATTATGTATAAAGGAAGATAGGCTAAGTAGGTAGTTAGATATAAGAAA